GGCAATCTGCTCGCCGAGAAAAACCGCCTCCGCAAGCCTACGTAAATCGTTTCACCGACGACAACAAAGCGGCCTTCTGCCGTGGTCGCCTCCTTGTGCAGTGGCGGCTGCGCGAGATGCAGGAGGTCTGAACGGTTCGCAAGGCCGAGAAGATCCAAGATTGCGCGGAACGCAACGAATGAAAGAACTACTTCTCCGCGATTAAAGCCGTCTACGGTCCGTCAACCAAAAGGAACTGCTCATCTTCTTAGCAGGAATAACCCTGCCCACTGAGAAGACGCAAACTCAACAGCGATGGGCTGAGCACTTCAAAAGCTTCCTCAGACGCTCCTATACCATCCCGGACATCGCCATCGCCAGTCTGCCTCAAGTGAAGAAGAACGCCGACTTTGACCTTCCGCTATCTCTTCACGAAGCAATCAAGGCCGTACGGAAGTTCTCCAGCGGGAAAGCGCTCGGATCGCTTGCGACCCCTGCTGAGATCAACAGGGACGTCGGTCTCCAACTCATGGACACGCGGCATTTGTAGGACGCTACAAACGAGCATTAGTACAAACGGAGAAGAAACCGCCAGCTCTGCGGCAACCACCAAGGCATCTCGCTGCTGAACATCTCCGGGAAAATCTTCGTTCGCATTCTCCCCAACCGCCTAAGCAACCATCTGGAGTAGGGTCTCCTGCCGGAAAGCCAGTACGGCTTCCGTCGTCATCGTGGGACCACGGACATGATCTTCGCCGCCCGTCAACTCTAGGAGAAGTGCCAGGAGATGCAGACCCACCTGTACTCTTCCTTCGTAGAACTGACGAAAGCCTTCTACACGGCGAGTCGCGAAGGAATGTGGAAAATCATGCAGAAATTCGGCAGTCCCGAGCGATTCACTCAGATGGTGCGTCGGCTCCACGATGGCGTGATGACACGAATCACAGAAAATGGAGCTCTCTCAGGGGCATTCACAGTGGCCAACGGAGTGAATCAGGATTGCAACCTCGCGCCCTCCCCCTTAGGTCACCACCTCAACCACCGGAGGATGCAATTCTAGTCGCGTGTATCCTCAACCACCATCCATGAACTTCTCTTTGCCGACGACAGTGCTCTCAACGCCATCTCCGAAGAGGACATGCAATGGAGCATGGATCTCTTCGCCGCCTCCTGCGACAACTTCGGCCCGATTGCCAACACGAAAAGACGGTGGTTATGCACCAACGGCGTAAACGGCGCCAGATCGCAAGTCGTGGACAACTTCACATATTTGGGCAGCACCCTCTCCCGCATCACCAAGATCGGGGGTGAAGTGACCCGCCGGATTCCCAAAGCCAACCAAACGTTCGGCCATCTGACCTATCTGCCGCAGGGCAACTACTACCACCCATGTTCTCAACGGCTCCACTGACGACGACCGGCCCCTCCAGCGAACCTGCGCAAAACACCGGCACATTCTGACCAACACATACTTTTGCCTCCCGATGCGAGCCAAGACCACCTGGATGTACCCTTAGCCACAACTCTGGTCCCTGATGGACTATGTCCTCGTACGGGGACGAGATCGGTGGGACGTGTTGGTGAAAAAGGCGATCCCGGGTGCTGACGGGTGAACCGATCATTGTCTCGTCATCTCGCAGATGTGGATTCGCCTAAAGGCTAGGAGGAGACCCCCAGGTAAGCTGAATATTGCTTTGTTGTTTTTGCTTGCTCCCCATCTACATTTCAGCAATGAGCTAAATCAATGGCTGGACAATCTACCAGTCGCTAATGGCGCCGCCACCGCTGACGAGAACGCCTCTGTGGAGAACCGATGGTGTCAACTGCGGATACAGTCCAGGCGACAGCCCTGGCCGTCCTCGGTCGTGCATATCGCAAGCACTAGAACTGGTTTGATGACGACGACACCGCCACAAGCAATCTGCTCGCCAAAAAGAACCGTCCACACAAAGCCTACATCGACCGTCCCACCGACGACAAAAAAACAGCCTTCCACCGTAGCCGCCACCTTGTGCGGGAAAGCGCCCGAATCGGACGCAATCCATGCTGAGATCTACGAGCACGCTGGCCCCCAAATCATGGATCATCTGACGACGTTCTTCCATGAAATGTGGCGTCAAGAAGAAGTCCCTCATGATTTCAAGGACGCCACAGTCGCTCATCTCTATAAGAGGAAAGGTAACTGCCAGCTCTGTGACAACCACTGAAGCATCTTCTTGCTGAACATCGCTGGGAGCATTTCCGCTCGCTTCCTTCTCAATCGGAAAGTCAGTGTCACTTCCGTCATCATCGTGGAACAACGGATATAGACTTCGCCGGTCACTAACCGCAGGAAAAATGTCAGGAACTGCGAATACACCTCTACTTTACATTCGTGGATCTGACGAAAGCCTTCGGCCCCGTGAATCGTGAAGGAATGTGCCAAATCATGCAGAAGATCGGCTGTCCCTAACGACTCACACGGATGGTGTGTCAGCTCCACAATGGCATGATGGCACGCGCCACGCACAATGGAGCGGTCTCAGAGCAATTCGCTATGACCATTGGGGTGGAGCAGGGCTGCGTCCTCGCGTCCACCCTCCTCAGTCTTTTGTTCTCCACCATGCTGATGGACGCCTACCGTAACGAACGCCCCGGGGTCCGCGTAGCCTAAGGGACGGACGGCCAACTCCCCAACCACCGGATGATGCACATCCAGTCACATGTATCCACAACCACCGCTCATGAACTTATTTTCACTGACGATTGCGACCTCAACACCAACTCGGAAGGGGGCATGCAAAGGAGCGTGGACCTCTTCTCCGCCGCCTGCAAAAACTTCTGTCTGATAATCCACATGGAGAAGATGGTTTTCGTGCACTAAATGCCACCCAACACAGCCAACAATGCGCCGCAAATCGACGTGAACGGAACCCAACTGCAAGTTTTAGACAACTTCACGTATGTCAGCAGCACCCCATCTCGCACCAACTAGATCGAGGATGAAGTGTCCCGCCGAATTCCCAAAGCCAGCCAAACATTCGGCCGTCTGCAAAACACAGTCTGGAATCGCCACGGTCTTTATCCCAACAGGAGGCTGAAGATTTATAAGGCAATCATCCTGCCGACGTTGCTGTATGGAGCGGAGACCTGGACGGTGTGCAGGAAGCAGACGCGGAGGCTCAATAACTTCCACCTCAACCGTTTTTGAAAGATATTGAAGCTGAGGTGGCAGGACCGGATCCCCGACACAGACGTACTAGATCGAATGGGACTCCTCTGCATCTACTTCATGTTAAGACAACTTCAACCGCGTTGGAGCAGTCACCTTGTGCACATGGACGACGAGAAATCACCCAAAAGATTCTTCTGTAGATATATCGCCATGGGTTATCGCCGACAAGGAGGTGAAGCCCAGCGCTATAAGGACAGTCTGACGGCCCTATTAAAGATCCTGCGGATCAACCCGGTCAACTGGGAAGACCTCGCCCGAGACCAACCGACCTGGCGAAGAGCAGTGAATACGTCAGACAGTCCGTGGTCTTTCATCCTTGGACTGGACTTTCTTACAGCGTATGACTGTGTCACCCATATTCGAGACAGACGCTTAGTCTTAGGGCCAAACGTCGTCACCCTGCCTTCCATATACGAGCCAGACGACCTCGGCTTTGTATGTAACGCCACCTTTTCGGTCATTGTCCTTGAAACAACCCACTTAAACCATTCCTTTCTCACCCGTTCTATGGTGGGAAACGCGTATACAAGCAGCTGAGATACCTCCTTGCCTCTTTCCCCAACTTTTCACGGGGTCCACTAATACCATCAGCCATTTGTTTCCTTCTAGTGGCTGACATCACCAGAGCCAATTTGGTCCAAATTTGATGTTATAGAACTGACTTGAAACGTGTCCTGCTTTATTCAGAAATAAATGTGTGTTACCATTTAAGAGAATTCCTTAGTATTTTTTAAATCTTAGTATGTTTTGGCCTCTTAGAAGAGAACTTGGTAGGGCACTCCATGCAGTCGCAAATTTTATGGAATAGAGGTTTCAGTGCATGATCTTTCTGGATTTGGGAATTTTTATAATGCCTTTGCTATTCCTAATGTTTTAGGAGCGTTGCGTTTTGTTGGTACATCAATCTTGAGACTAATTCGGTTGTGTGCGACTTTGTTTAGGAAACTGGGAACATTGTTGAGTCGCCTGATCCAGAGGGGTCGAAGGCCATATTTGTTGTGGTGTTCCAACCATGAGCCTTATGTGCCATCACATTTGGACAGAGGCTTATTAAATCGTCTCTGGATGCCTGCTGGTTTTATTTGACCATCTGATTAGGGGTTGGCTTCCATCGCCCTTCCAAATTAGTTGTAATTCAAATCTTTCACATATCCCGGCCTTTGCTCATACTAGCCATCCACACAACATTCATTAGTTTCCTTGATTATTCCTCCTTTCCCCTCTTCCCATTATGAAGGACATCAATCTTCTCTTCGGAATAACCTGCCAACCGACGTAAGGTCAGCAGGTAGTTTGTCTGTTTTTAAGGGCAGACAAAACCTTCGCTTTAACGCTGACTCGATGAACTTTTTGGCTTTCTCATCTGTTCTCAGCAGCCTTTTACATGACGTTGGGAAGGTATCATCGAAATTTTTGGGGATCGTCCATGAATTGCCTCTACCACTCACATTTGTAAACATGCGTTTGGTTTCACCAGTCACGACTTCTCGTCAGAAATAGAATTTTCACGGGTAAGGCATCGTGACCCTCAGGGAGCACATCGTTTACAACCCACCAATTTGGCAAGTCGTGGTGCCGCGACACCCAGTGCTATACCGCTTCAGTTTCGTCCTGACAGTTGGGACGTGGTGGTCGCATGTCTATTGCCGACCTAGCTCCAGATCTGCCAAAAAACGGCATCCGGTACGCATTCAGGACAACTCGCATGCTGCTCTGCAATTACAATAGTACCTTACCTTTGCAGTGGACTTAGCCTGTCGCTCCATAAACCTTTCGAGGCAGTTTTTCTCCTAAGTATCTCGCTTGAATGTGCAGGTCCTCTGAACTCTCCCAGCGCTTTCAATTCAGGAGTCTAGTCACTGGTTCGCCTAGAGCTCGTCATTTTTACCTAAAAACCGTCGGATTTCAAAGGACAGCCAAGCTTTGGACGTCTGCGAATAACAGTTTGCAATCGCCACCGTCTCCACCTCAGCACCAAACTGAAGATGTGCAAAGCGGCCATCCTGCCGACATTGCTGTGTGGAGCGGAGACCTGGAGGGTGTACAAGAGACAGACGCGAAGGCTCAATCATTTCCACCTCAGCAGGACAGGATCCCGGATACGGACATACTGGAGCGGATGGTAATCCTCAGCATCTAGGCCGTGCTGAGACATCTGCGACTGCGTTGGGACGGCCACCTCGTGCGGATGGACGAGCGGTTTCGCGAAGGAGTTTTCTATGGAGATGCCGCCACGGGTTCTCGCCGACAAGGAGGCCAAATCCGTCGATACAAGGACACTAAAGATTTCCCTTAAGCGTCTGCATGTCGACCCGGCCAACTGGGAAGACCTTGCCCGAGACCGACCGACCTTTAGGAGGACAGTGAAGGCAGGCGCAGTGGTCTAGGAGCCAATCGCATCACCGCCGCCAAAGCCAAACGCGAGGCTCGATAATCTCAACTGCGTCAACCTCGCAACGCGAGCGCTCAGCTGCCGCCGACCTGCACGCGGACGTTCCGGGCACCAATCGGCTTTGTAGGATATTTTCGTACCAACTGCAGCACCCGGACTACACCAGCTGCTGTCTCCTCGCCCCTCCGTCAAATTCTGCCTCGTCCCCCATGCCGATAATAGTAATATTGAGCGCACTCCCGAATCCCCACTACCAGCATCCTCCTCCGCCTCCATCGCCTCACCATCTGCTGCGGCGGCTTCTGTGTCCACCACCTCTGCACACATTCCAAACTTACCAAGAAACATCAACCGTCACGCCGTGAACACTAACGATATGGACTCGGTCGATACATGTCCTCATTGTGGCCGCAACTTCACCTCACACATCGGCCTGGTCGGTCACTTGCGAATCCGTCCCACAGAGACTGGCGAACCAGTGCCTGGAGCACCAACTTACACTCGCCGCTGTCGCCTCATCTGTCCTTGCACCTTCACCCACTGCATGGGCCTATTCGGTCGCAGGCGTATACATGAGAGCGGAATTGACGGGAGTCCCGACACACCCAATACCTCCCGCCCATCCCCCATGTCTAGCTCCACCTAAACCCCGCCGTCCGGCAAGGCCACAATCAGCGGCTCCCCCACTGCCACCATCTCTGAAACTGACACCCCCGACCTCTTCTGCCCACACTGCTCTCGTACATTCAGCTTACGCATCGGCCTGGTCAGTCACTTGCGAATCCGTCGCACAGAGGCTGGCGTACTAGTGCCTGGGGTACCAACCTACACCCGACGCATCCGCCTCAACTGTCCTCATTGCACCCGAACATTCACCCAACGCATGGGCCTATTAGGCCATATGCGCATTCACGAAAACTTGCGGTAGATAACCGCTGGCTACACCACATCACCACACCTCCCCCACCAACATCTGCATCACACATCATCATCCATCACAATGCACCCACTTGCCACTCCAACGCAAGTGGGAAGTGTGTGTCTAGACTCGATCTCCAAGCAGCTCCTTTGTTACATGTGTGACTCGAGTCAGGGACTATCACGGCGCCTGACACGCTGTGGCTTGAAAAGCTGCTGACTCACATCCCAACTCAGTCCATGCAGTCTGCCCAGCTGTATGCGTGCATGTGTAATGTGGCAGACTGGTGGGCTGAGAGCCAGGCTGAAGCGGTTCCTTCTTAACGTGACGTGACCTCTGGCACCATCACGCATGTGAGATGTAGCGCAAGTCCACTATCACTGCAAACTAATTCACGCGCAAGTCACCGTGCCTGATCCACCTTAGTCGCCTTGTGATTCCGATAATGACGATTTGCTGCCGGCTTCTCCCTCGATTTCGATTTCCGTGCTCAGGACCACAGCTGTGTTGGGTTGCCGTGATTTTGCGACACTAAGGCGTCTTGCACGTAATAGTTTGGGTGGAAATGGAGGGTGAGCCTTGATGCGTGTGCGAAAGAAAGCGTGGTGTGACCCATAGGCGCTGCCATGCGAACCCAGCTGTGCAATCTTGTACCAACTAGAATGCAGTCAGACTGTCGGCACAGCCACCGTTAGAATATCGGGTCAGATTTTGTGGCGGTGATGGAATTACGTCTGTGACAAGCAGTCCGTCCTAATTAAAAGTCAGCATTATTCCGCCGCTATAGCATCAAGAGGCAAATCCAATGCGGCCAATAACGCGACTGGAAAGTTTTCTGGCCTTCCGGTCACTCCAATCCCAGGAACAACCAACAGATCATGGTCAGGGATTCGTTCAAATAATTCTTGAAGATGAGTAAATGGTTATTGTACGGCGCTCGCCAAGTTGCTGGTGCACACACGGAGACGATAAGTATATTCGTGAGTAGATCCTTGTCGTACGTAAGCCAGCCAGTAACTAGTTCCAACTAAGATACTGCATAGTTCGCTTGTTTCGAGGGCGATCGGCGCAGTCTACCAGAGAAATCTCGTGGGTCGCTGAGATACAGGGTGAAATGCTAGTTGGCACTCGGGATCTTAATATTCCGAACGCGAGTCGGGAATTCAGACTTCAGACGGGGAGCAGACATTCAGAATGGACTGGGGAAGATTTCGAGTCGCCATGCTCTGGGTACCAGGGACGTTCGCACATTCCAGAACCCAATACCAGAAGTCCGTTCTCGGCTGAGTAGTCCGACCCGCAGCACTGAACCACGGCATCGGTTCCTACGGGCGCTGTGGCAAGGATCGCAATACACGTATCGGACATCAGGGGTACACCACCAACAGTCGTCCTGGTTGTTTGAAATCTGCTCATCTAGCGTTTTGGCTCAAAAATGTAGGCACAAGGTAGCGGTAAAAAGTGAGCTTAGTTAATGGCGGTTAAGTTGCCAGGTCACAGTACGGTCATAAGGCCTGGTGGTATTTTTCCGGACGTCGGCCTGCCAGATCCTAACTCCTCGCGGCCTCGTGGCACTGCCACTGCTGGTCGACGACGACTTACTCGTCAGACTAGATGGTCTGTTTAGTTCGCAGGTAACCTGCGGCAAAGGCCGTGTCCGCCCGTGGCAGACGGCAGCTGGGCTAACGAGTTAAGCCGCCGTCCAGGGTGTAAGTTTCCCGCTTCTTTGGTCTGTTGTTGTAACTGTTTCTAGTCATCAGAAAATTCAAACTGTGCGAATTGTCTGGTGGACTATCCAATTTTTGTTCAATTTTCTTGATGGAAAATTAAGTGTACCTGAAACTCAGCACAGTACCGGAGTGTCTGAAGGCAAGAAAACTAGCGTTCCATGCGCATTTTGAACGACAACCTAGATTTTTCCTTTCTCTGAAGACATTCGGTTGAAAGTCGATGACCCTTAGTACAATGGTGCAGCCTGGCACGATGTTCCTCAATTACTCATACTGCAGCCACGCACAAGTTGGCTTCTCTGCTTAAATGCGCAATAACTAATCTCGACAAGGTATTAGAAGTTTCGAGGTTTGCCGACCATAAAAACTCAAATATCCAACTGGAACTTTTCAGAATCGAACGACCTCAAATTCTACGGGCACTAAGTTCAATCTATATTTCAAAGACAAGGTCTGCGTACCTACAAAAACATGAGATGTCAAAATGATCGAAAATCAAAACCGACAAGGTGACAAAGTTCCAGTTTGCAATAATTAACGAAACCTGAGTAGTAAGAAACTTGACAGAGATTCACGTCAGGTCACGGATCCTGAGGAAAAGTGAAATGTCGCAATGTTTGCTCAAGTCCTGGGTCCTGTAACATGAAAATTGTTTATGTAAAGCTTCTTCCTGAAATGACAGCTAGCCAACGACGAGCGTATTTTCGTCCAGAAATCTGTAAGGAGGGATTTCTAAATTGAGCGGAGCAGGGCCCTTGCGTATACGGCCAGAAGCATCATAGTGACTACCATGGCAAGGACAGTAGAAGCCGCCTGCGTAATCTCCCGAGTTGGCTATTGGGACGCAACCTAGAAATAAACCAAACACAAATGATTTGGACAATTTACTCCTAGCCATAGAAGTGGGGAAAGTCAAAATGTAACATTAGCTTAAACGGACTTCGTATGGTTGGGATGAATACAGCCCGTGTAAAGCAGCAACAAAAATGGGACAACACCGCAAATTTCTCGCTGATGTAACAAGTTCAACGAAATGACAGCTCAGCAAAATAACTCTTGCGTCTCCTCCAGATGACGTGGCAGGCATTTTGCGGAGTCGGATGAAGAACTCGTTATTACGGAACCTAACTAGGGGGATAAGAGCTGAAAAATTAGAGGTTTTGAACTGATCCAGCTATTGCGGCGTGGACGGGGGAAGTGAAGAATATTCTTCGCTGTTCTGTAGGCAGAGAATTCAATGACGGTCATCTTCCTTGATTCGGACTGTCCAGCAGGACCGGTCTTCTGAGTTTGGAGAAGGGTTCACATATACCTTGTGATGGACCAGTGGTTGCCCCGACCTCTCAAAATTGTTCTCACTTCCCAAATAACCCTCATCTGTGGTAGTAAAGTGTTCTCTGGACATCAGCCGCATGCCGGCAACCGCCGTCTGTAGGCTGATTGTAGTCCGTGGATGCCAAGCACACGGTAGAAGCACCGCACACCAGAATTCGCCTCCCCTACCCTCCAGTCAGAATGGCCTCGGTCACTCTGACAGTGCAAGATGTTCGTTCTCAGCTGACGATCCGATGGCCAACACATCAAAGACTGCATTGGTTATCCGAGAAATGTCTCGTTACAATACGAGTGTAACCACACTCAACAAGGCTCATCTCTTGAAACGATAACTGTCAAACGAAGTTGGTGAAATGCACATCTTACGGGGCTATCGTCTCAATGATGAACCATGTGGAGCCGGAAGCTGCCTTGGCGTCAGAATCAACCTTGCCAGGAAGTTGCCTTCCTGCCCTACAAAAGCAACGAGCGTCGCATTTCAGAAAAGCTCCAAATCGGCAGGGGGAAGCCTATCACCATTCTCGGCGTCTACGCCCCTAATATAACAAGTCCCACACAAAAGGGTAGTTCTACACAAGGGAAGTTCCACACGGCCTCCTCCTCGTGCTCGTGTCGAAAGCCAGTCAAACTGATTGTTTTCAGTGACTTCAAGCCCACACTGCATGGGGAGGGGCGTTTGATAACCAAGGCGCAGACCACTGAAGTGGCAGCAGACTTCTTCTGCTGAGGACCCGTATAGAACATAGCCTGCGTGTCACCGACACTACCTTTAAACCTCCCAATTTCAAGAAGACAACCTGGATGTATTATCGACCGCATCCGTGACGACTGCTCATCAGGGAGTGTGGTTGATGTGGCGTGTGCGTGATGAAGGCAGAGTAAGAGGTTAGATGCTAGACTGGTCACTTTATTGTCCCGAAAATGAGGCTGCAAATCTAACTACATGGAGGCCTCATGGGAAAAAAAGCTCCAAGAAAGTTGAACACTTATGCAGTGGACGTGGCCGAACGCCGGCAATAAATCTCTAACATGTAAATTGTGCCGAGTGCAAATCCTAGAGGAAAAAAGTTGATGGCAATTGGCAGAGACTGTGGAATATCATCTACACCACCGCTGATGAAGTGAACGGCGAAATCATCAATGTCGGTTCGAAGACGGTGGCGAAATGCAGCGACAGACGCCAAAAAGACCTTACTGCACAGAACAGTTTTGGAAACAACACGGCCTAAGCTAGAAACGCATCCTTCTCATGCCACTACCAGACACAACATTGACTTTGGGAGGTGCAAAATAACTGTATGACAACTAGGGAGGACAAGACCCAAAGGAGACGCAGGGTGAAGTAACGCTGGGAATTCATTGACGGAAATCAACGCAGTCTACGATCCCCAACCCACGGGAATTGCGCTGCTACTCATCTTAGATGGAACAACCCTACTGGAAAAGAAACCACAGAAACTGCGACGCTATGTCGTGCACTTCAGGGACATCCTAAGCCGCTCACCTATGGTCTGTTGGGAAACTAAATAATTCTTCGAGGGAGACTAACGTACATCCTCATCCCTCATCGGCCCTGCAAGAAACAGTCAGAACACTGCAAAGAATGTCCAATGAAGTCTTCAGGCCCTGACTCAGTTCTGACCGAAAGCTGGCATACGGTGGTCTCAATCCACGAACAGACAAACTTCCCTGTTTTAGTGGATGTGGAAACAAGAAGAAATTCAACAAGATTTACAGGACACAGCTGTTCATCCACATAAATAAAGGAGAAATGGGAAATTCACAGAAATCACTGGTCATCTCTCTTCCCGGCACTTCCAGCAACATCTTCGTCCATGTTCTATTTGAAGGATTTTTGCTGAGAGCTGATTACCGAAACGTAGCGGACCTACCGACATAATCTTCGCAATCTGGCAACCACAGTAAATGTGGGGAAATGGATATCAGCACTTATGCCACTCTCGTGGATCTCATGGAGGCCTTTGACACCATGAACCGAGACAGTCTTGGGGAAGTAGTGAGGAAATTTGAATGTTCCTGACGGTTCATGATCGCCAGGTACTTCGCGATGCCATGATCGGACGAGCTACAATTGACTGACGCCGGAGGCCTTCGCGGTGGCGAATGAGGTGACGCGTGGCGATGTCCTTCCGAAGCCAAGTAGCAATTTTATTGTGGATAAAATACCTCGAGAGACGAACTACTACCTATCCGTAGCACGTCTCGAGGACGTTAGCAGCAGGTGTGGGCACAACGTTTAAGTCAATGGCGCGTTAATATCTGGTCAGATGGTACTTTTATGTAACTATCGTATCTGGCCTATCTCACGAACGGTTAATCGAAATTCCAAAATGCGTTTTCGGTTAGATGGGATTACTTGGGCGGGGTTATAATATTGATAATCGTGCAGCATAATCCCAAAATACTTCAATCGCGCCAGGATGCCGTCTTTTGAATAAGCTCTCTTCCGGCTGACTGCACAAACCATATTCCGTAAAAAATGGTTATTCAATTACTATGCATCATTTCCATTCACCTTCGGTGTCCTTACAACTCCAATTTATGTGATGGAAAACATCCCCAAGGATTTTCTTGTGGTGCTCATTTTGTAGGAAATTTTGTTTTCTTTGGACTCAATACTCAAGAAAACAGTACATTCGATTAATTGGAGGTTTGTAATTTTGAGATTCTTAAGGAACGTGCAATGTCCGTTCATACAACACCGGGCCTGTCAATTTAATTCTTAAGAAGTTTGCAACATGACCCACAAGTATTACAAACTTTTACGTATTATATATGACGTCTTCTAAACAGTATAGAGATGCGCGTGATTGTTCTTACACTTTGAGCTTGCAGCATGTAGTTTGGGAATGCCAAACACAAGTGCAACTGCTGGTCGGGTTCAAAATTAGTCGGGAATTAAAAAGGTTTTTTGAAACATAAAATTCGACGATGTCATCTGCTACCAAACAGTGCTAGAAAGAATATTCTTGTGGATGCTTTCTATGCAATATATCTAAATCTGTAAGGGAATCGAAGATGAACGATAGGTATGTTACTTAAGTAGCCTCTTTTTTTAACCCAAAGTGACTTTCACTGGCAGCCGGACAGCTCATTCAAAAGATGGCATCCTGGCGTGCCCGAAGCATCTTAGGATTATGCTGCAAGATTATCAATAACATTTCACCCAGGTTATTCTTTCTAATCGAAAACACTTCGGGATTTCATATAGCATTTCATGAGAGAGGCCAGTTGTTGTATAGTGTGTGGATGCTCTATTGCGTATGTTATTATCACTTCTCGTTCCAGACGGCGACAGCTAGCTGAGAGGAGTACCTACACACATCTAAATGTAATATGACCCGAACTTTGGCGAAGTTACCGCATACATAGTTCTTTGTGGTCAATGCAGAACCATGCAGACACAGGGCACATCCCCGCTTCCTCACAATCGAGCTCTCTATGAAATCCCCTCGAATCTGACTGTATACAGGAAAATAACTCAGAACTGCAAAGTCCTATTCGTCGCTATTTAAATACCTCTTAGTAGTCAAGAACGCGGGTGCATCCCATTCTTTGGTGCAAAAGGTTAAATTTAACGCGTCTGAACGTATCCCAACGAACTGAAACCCATGGTTTGGAAGGTTACCAACTGATTGTATTGGATCAACGTAAACTTATATGCTCGCACGCGGGACTTTGGGGAAGAGGGAAAGTGGTCTTTTAGGCTTGCGGGGACGGGGACCTGATCCAGCTTACATACGTTGCGAGTGTTAGCACGACGCCTTGGTCTGTATAATGCCCTCGGCTAGGAAAACTTGAGCTAACTGTGATGTAATGAGCCGGACTGGCAGTGCGAGCATCGTTGAAACATCCAACAGATGTTTGCGGTGATACTGGAAGATGTTGACCGAACGTCAGGACTGTTTCCAGAAACTCAGCGGTCCTCCATCAAGGCCATGTAGAGAACCCGGGTTGAAGAGGCCAATAGGGGCACTGTTTTGAGGGTTGTCTGACTAGGTCCGCCTATTCTAATCACCAGCGAAGATTAGTGGATTGACGGGAGACCATTTGTCAATTTTTGCAGTTGCGATCAGAACTTATCTTTAATGGGCCGTCCAGCAGTCGACTTTGTGATGCAAATGGTTAGTAGTAGTAGTAGTAGTAGTAGTAGTAGTAGTAGTAGTAGTAGTAGTAGTAGTAGTAGTAGTAGTAGTAGCAGCAGCAGCAGCAGTAGTGGCAGTCGCAGCAGCAGAAGTAGTAGTAGTCTACACGGCAGGGTCCATAAAAATTCGACCCAATTATTCGTCAATTTGGTCGTAGGCCCCCTGAAAAGAATGGCACTGTTCGCGATGCGAGTGGTGGCTTTAGTACCGAGAACTCGGGAGAAGTCGAACGGTGATTCGAACAATTCCAATACTTTGCCAACTCCTATTATCAACCCATCATCTCTCTCCCCCCTTGCAACAGCGTTTCACCTGTCTCCAACCTATGTAATGTCGCGTGAATACCTCTTCCAGAAGAAACCATATATACAAAAGTGGGGCCTTGAAACACAGCTGTGGAGGACGGAATCGCTGCTGAGGTAGATAAGATAAATTATGATAAATGCTGCGGCATTATTCTCGTAAAAGTTGATGTAAAGGTCTATGGTATCGCAATTCTCAGGCGACCTTAAAACACCCGTGTTTCATAAACGAGACCAAAGCAAGTCGGATAACACACTGTTTGCGGTTGCGCCGATCACGTATTTACACTAACGCGTTCTAAAATTCCCGAATAACAACCAACAACCGTCCGCTTTGTTGATTTCACTATTGACCCTGTGGAAGACAAATAATTGAGTAACATACAGGCAGAAAGCATCACTTCCATCAAGGCCCACTGTTTCACTACTATGCGAGTTCTGGTTCATAGCGACCCCTCTCTCGATATCCCATCTGGCGTATCACATAGTTGACTGCTGTTCAAATGCAAAACTGACCGGATTATCTAGGCCCCACGCAGTTTAGACTGTCAAATTTGCACCTGGGCGCCGGCTGACTAATCTAGGCTATGCTACCGATATCGTCCTTGCGTCAATCTGTGGTGACCTGTAGGCTGTAGCGACACAGATGAACGAGGTTGCTAAATCAATTGACTTATCTACCAAGGCTGGGAAGACCAGTGTTCCCGAGCGACACTACTTACCGGAATAGTTTAACCCCTTAAAACTGATGGCTGTCACCATAATGTAGTTTCAAATACCTCGGGGCTAAATTCCTGCTAAGCAGACGGAAGAAGGGCAATATTTTCTCCCGAATCGATAACATTCGTGGTCTCAATAATCCATAGAAAAGGTCCATGGGTCCGACACGATATCCCTATCACCACCAAGATCCGCAAATACCGGACATCCGGCGGGCCAGCCCTCCTATACGGTTGTCTATGCAGGTTTGTGCGTGCGAAAGACGGGAAAAACTCGACCACTGTTGCCTGATAAATGTCCTTTAAGTGATGTATACCCACATCCTCTCAAATAACAGTCCACGGTCGCTACAATATCAAGAGGATATTTCAAATCATCCGCGAAAGGCAACTGAGATGGCACTGGCACTTTTTTCATTATCTGCCGCTGCCCACCTCAAGACATTAAGATCACCCAAAACGTAGCTTGACGACGTTGGCCAAAAATGGGGGCGGTTCTTTGGCCTTCGGTGTTTGACTTTCGTCGCTGGAGGAAAGATTGAATCGGGTTTTCCATGCTTGCTGTCGATGATCGTTACATACAAGGCATTCTCCGCAAAATCCCTGAGACCAAGCAGACCGGATATGGCCACAGCCTCAACATGTATAAGTAAGTTTGTTGGGTTAAATCCGCTGCGAAAAACCAAATCGTTATGTAGTAATCGCGAGTAACAAAGCCATCGCGCGTAGGAGCGCCATATGATGACTTGCGTCAAAAAAAAAACTACGTGAAGAAGGAAAGTAGAAAGGACATGGAAATTACCTAGATGAGTACAAACACCGATGCAAACGAGCCATTCTGGATTCTCCGCGCGATCCTCATCCCTTTGTTGATCGCGCAGGTCAGAAAGCGGTACGGCCCGCTCGCGTTCAATTTCTTCTTGCGTACGATGACGGACGAAAAGTGGCTTGTTCCGCCATTTGACAACCAAGTTCTTCCCTTCGGGTATACCTGCGAGATTAACTTCGATGCTAGCTAGGGCCAACGTCTTCGCTGATGGTCCCAGTGTCTGGACCATGGTTGTTACCGCGTATTTCGCTGTTGTTGTGGCGAGTACCGTGCCCGCTAAAAAGTATTAGCGGGAGTCAATAATACGTCTAACACTGCACTCGCGAAGCGCAGGAACTCAAAGAGAACATGTAACCGGTAGCAGTTGGAATCAGAATGTGCGTTGAGTCGACAATTTATCCGTGGCGTTCGGTGCGAAGCCTACTGTTAAGATTTCTTGCAGTGCTAGCGCAGGCATGTCTCACTCGTTTACTACAAAAGTCTTGATAGCTTAATGAAGTAATCAGTAGCAAACCGAACGCCAAGAAACTGTGAACGTAAATAAGCAAGTCAAAAAATTTAGCGCGGACGAGGACCTGGTCCTGCCTACATGCGTCGCGAGTGTCAGCCCGAAGTGTTAGTTCGTATAATGGATGGGAAGACTTGAGCTAACTGTGACGCAATAAGCCTGACTGGCAGTGTAAGCACCAGCATTTGATTACATAACTTTTCACCCATAAGAGGTCCGGGCAAACAACACAGACAGTGCTCGTAATACATCCGCGGTATACGACTTGGCGACTAACGGTCGTAAAAACCGGCGCTTGGGTAACCAAACATAAGCATAGCGACGGTACACCAAGTCATTAGGCCGAGAATATAAAACTGTTTGTCGGAATGCTTCTTTGCCAAACAAAGGCATGTTGCGACTGACAGCAACAGAAAAACAGAGTAACATTACCAACAGAGATAAGGGAGACGGAATTGGTTATTTCTGGCTTATTATTCGTCGTCAGCCAGCCACACCCAACTCCGAGGCGTGGAACACCCGACCCCTAACCACTGCGCCACGGGCTCGTCCTGTCGGTTGCAATCGTGAACATACGATGATCGTGGGGCGCTCACCAATCGTGTTAAGGAACTCCGTCTAAACTACGCGCTGTTGTGCGGTTGCTGGTTGGCCTCGATAGAGAGAGCCCTAGGGCACAACACGACTAAGTTCCGTAAGAGGATCAGTGAGCGTTCCTCTAACTGAGAAACAATGGGTGACCAAACACAACAGCAACAGTGGTATTTACCGTCCTATGTTGTTAGAGGATGAAAGCCCTTGCGGCAAGTGGAAAGAGACAAGGCCTGATGCTAGCTAACATACTAAGCCATATCTTGGCCTTAAAACTAGCATGATTCGACTTGAAGCAAACTGGACCGAGCTAACAGTTCAGTTATTTAGTGACCGTCGGGCAAGTAAAGTGCGAAATAGCGCATATGATTACTTAGGCGTGTCGATTGTACGGCCGGTAATTATAGATCAAAAGTAAAACTCCCATATTCGACTGTCCTACTCGCAATGGGATAGTAGCACTCCGTTTTCCCGCGTCGACGTTCGCGGAAGAAAGGAATACAGAACCCGGTGTCCGTAGGCTTTTGGACTGACGGTAAGCGCCTGTTGAGTGCAGCAGGATTTGGAATTTGTCGTCATGAGGCAGGAGTGTAATAGAAATTAATAGTAATACGTACCAAAGGCAATGGTGTACGAGAAAACCTTCCGCTGTAATTCTGTCTTCGAGGACCGCGCATGTGGGTCCTTAGTAGACTTCACACGATACGCTGAGAAATCTGGAACGTTTGTAACATCCACATGCGAAAATCGGACTTGCAGCGGCCCTGAAGATAAGGAGACGGGATGAACTGCATACCGGAAATACCGCAAGATGCCGATGCAGTGGCAAATAAGGGCAAGGAAGTAGTAAAACCACTTGGAGTAAGTTGTCTTGGAACGCTGGTAACAATTTTCTTTGTACGCTTCGTTAAAGAGACCACCTTCTCCGGTGATATAGGAATCGTAAGGGATCTGGCCACAGCGGCAACCTGACGAGGAGCACCGACGAACGACGCCATTAGACCCTACGACAAAGATAATGCGCGGCAGCGCTCATGCTTGAGTAAAATAAGCGGAATTGTGTTCGTTCATAACACGAAGTACTAGAAAGAATTTAACTACTCTTAGACATAAATTACTAGAGGATCCAGCCGGTGAGTGCCGCTTTTCCAGGATACGCCGAACTGCTGACTGTTTTAGAGTCCAACTCTGAGAGCATCCATGTGTAGGAAATACAACCTCAGGACAGGATGCTATTAAGGACGCATGGACGAAGTGGCTTAAAAAACCCTAATCGAAGAGGTCAGGTCCAGGCCTGTAGACTAGTTAATAATTCAGCACCGATAGTGGGCATCTGCGAAGCTGATCAAAAGCGCCTTTTGTAAGATCCACTGTAAATGTTGCCCAGATCGACTAAACAGTTATTGGATAGCGTACTGCCCCAGAGGCCCCTGTAGAAATGACAGTTGTGCAAATCGGGAGCAGATTTTAGAAGCTTATTTATAATTGCCTTAACCGAGTTTGCAGGTTGCCTATGCAGAACAACAATCAGTGGCAGGGCTGACTCGCTTCCACATCCACCGACCTTCGACCGGCTACACAGGTGAAAACTAATAATGCCATTGATCTTCTCCCATCCCTCCCAAAAATAATCAGGAGGACAAAGTAGATGTCCAGCACGAGATCGCCGAGAGCCATCGTGATCCCGGTCAACGTTTATGAGCACGGTAGCCCTCGTTTGACGGAAAATCTTAGAGCAATATTCCAGGAGATGTAGTGCAAAGGACAAGCCCCTTTAGACTTTAACGACGCGACTATAGTGCATCTCTACAAGCGGAAAGGGAAATGGCAATTCTGTGATAACCACGGAGGAATTTCTCTTTTTAACATCGCCAGTAATATATTCGTCCGCAAATTTCTCGATTATCTACACAGGGACTCATAATAATAATAATCCCTGCCAGCACATGGCCCCTTCATAGGCGGGGCTGGAAGGGGCTGGGTGGGGCCAGAGCGCCCTCTGGATTATAGCATTTTGAAGCATATTTGCATCGAAAGTTATGTTTCAAAAGCACCACTTATTGTACATTCTTTGGCATTAAAAGGAGCTAATTTATCAAAATTGGCTTATAAATCATGGAGAAAGCATCCGTTTACGCCCACTGAATGCAGGTGCGGATGAGCACAATATATTGAAGTTTTGTTTAAGTCCCACATTGCATAAACTCTTATTTGTCAGGCGGGGTGTAGGGGTGTCAGCGGTGGGTTCACGTGATGGTCGTGGTGGTCGCTCACTTGCTTGCAGGTGAGACTACGCCTAATGTTCACTTGCTGGCACTCAACTCTCACCTGTGGCTCCACGTAGCTGGGCTCTGCTCAGCGGCCACACCCCGGGCAACCGTCTCGACCGGCGGGCTAAACCAGGTGAGGGGGCCCTGTGCGCTGTGCCGTGTGCACAGGGTTTGCGGATTCCGCTGGATGGAAGGTCGGATGGAACCTTGCGTCGGCACCGTCGTGACGTGGTTCGTCTCTGCACGTCGCTGGACAGCCGGTGACGGGATGGATCTCCACATCGACATCGCCTTGACGCGCCCATCTACGCCGTCGGAGACCGCGGCTTACGGCGAATTGGAGTCGCTCTCCACTACAACCCGAAGTCGTGGCCCCATAGTGGAGTTCGGCCGTGCCACAACGGCACATGGCAGCCCTATTCAGGGATGGCACTGCCAGCCCCCACGGGGGGAAGGGCCTAGAAAAGGTGGCCTAAACATTGCTGGGCACCACGCCGTCTTCAGACTGGCCAGGGCCGCAGACTTCTAAACATGGTCGAAACAATCAAAATCGAAACAACAACAATACCTATAACAACAACAACAACAACAACAACAACAACAACAACAACAACAACAATACTCGCTCACCTCATCCTACCTCTTCTTTCTCGTCCTCTGCCTATTCTTCTGCCTATTCTTCTCCTTCGTCATCTTCTTCTCCACCTCCCGCCCGTCGCCCCACTCGTTGTCACCAGACTTGCAGGGTGAGTCCGCTCACTCTGGCAGCCTGGAATGTTCGTTCCCTTTTAGACAATCCGAGGAGCAACCGACCGGAACGAAGGACGGCGCTAGTCGCACGGGAACTGGCGCGCTACAAGGTGGACATCGCCGCACTCAGCGAGACCCGATTCTCCGAACAAGGCCAACTGGAGGAGGTGGGTGCCGGTTACACCTTCTTCTGGAGCGGTCGACCCAGGGCAGAGGGACGGGACGCGGGTGTCGCCTTCGCCATTCGGAACGACATCGTGGGACGACTGCCCAGTCTGCCGCAGGGCATCAACGATCGCCTGACGAGCCTCCGCCTGCCTCTCCGGGGTGGGGCGAAATTCGCCACCATCATCAGCGCCTACGCTCCGACGATGACCAACACCGACGCCGTCAGAGACAAATTATACGAAGACCTGCACGCCCTCTTGGCGACTGTGCCGAAGGCGGACAAGTTGATTGTCCTTGGCGACTTCAACGCCCGCGTCGGCACAGACCATTCTGCCTGGAGAGGAGTGCTGGGTCCCCACGGTCTCCGCGGCTCAAACGACAATGTTCTGCTGCTTCTCCGCATCTGCGCAGAACACCGCCTCATCCTGACGAACACCTTCTTCTGTCTGCCGGAGCGAGAGAACGCCACCTGGAGGCATCCTCGATCGCGCCAGTGGCACCTGCTGGACTATGTCCTCGTCCGGAGGCGAGATCAGTGGGACGTGCTGGTGACAAAGACGATCGCGGGCGCTGACGGGTGGACCGACCATCGCCTCGTCATCTCGAAGATGCGTATTCGCCTACAGCCTCGCAGAAGACCACAAGGTAAGCGACCCCCAGGTAAGCCGAATGTTGCCTTGTTGTCTTTGCCCGCTCACCATCTTCATTTCAGCGATGAGCTAGCTCAAAGGCTAGACAACATTCCTATCGCTGCCGACGCTGCCGCTGCCGAGAACGCCGCCGTGGAGACCCGCTGGTGTCAACTGCGAGACACGGTCCAGTCGACGGCGCTCGCCGTCCTCGGTCGCGCTCCACGCCAACACCAGGACTGGTTCGACAACAACGACGCCGCCATCAGAAATCTGCTTGCTGAGAAGAACTGCCGACTCCAAGCGTCAGCGATATACTCTTCTCAGAAGGCATTGTCCGAAGACAATTAGAGACACTGAACGAATCGAAGTCGCCAGGATCTGACGAGATTCCATCCAAGCTTCTGAAGGAACTTGCCAGTGAGCTTTCTGTGCCTTTGTCGATTCTCTTTCAAACGTCATTTGACACTTAACACTTCCTATCGATTGGAAGCTGGTGCATATTACTCCGCTACACAAAGGAGGTAACAGGGCAGCGACGACAAATTACCGGCCCATAAGCTTGACATGCATTCTCTGCAAAGTTATGGAAAGGATCATAAAGAGTGAACTGATGCAATTCCTGGAAGTTCACGGCCTGCTATCGAAATGCCAACATGGGTTCCGGAAAGGAAGATCCTGCACGACAAACCTGCTGCAATCTCTCCAGAGCTGGACCCGAGCTCTCGACGACAGGCACGCGGTCCACATAGCCTTCATCGACTTCCAGAAGGCGTTCGACACTGTGCCACACCAAAGGCTCTTACATAAGCTGAAAAAAATAGGGGTCGGTGGCAACTTCCTTAAATGGATCGAAAACTTCCTTGTGGGTCGACACCAGGTTGTGTGCGTCGGTTGGGGAAAATCAGATCCGGCTATGGTCGATAGTGGTGTCCCCCAGGGTTCAGTTCTGGGACCCATTTTGTTCCTTATCTACGTGGACGATGCCGCAAGAGATTTAGACTGTGAAGTAGCAATGCTTGCGGATGACATGAAGATATGGAGTGTAATTCGAGGTGCTGCCGATGAAGACAGACTGCAGATGAACCTGAATCGGTTGGAAGAGTGGTCCAACCGTTGGCTCCTGCGGTTCAACGTTGCCAAATATAGCATACTTCGCCTAGGCAACACAGTCAGATTCGCCAGCATAAGAGGCCACTTTCTGGGCGGTGCAGCCCTACAAGAGGTCGAAGCCCAAAGGGACCTCGGTGTGCTTACGGCGAGTTCCCTAAAACCATCCGCCCACTGTTCGAGGGTGGCAAAAAGCGCAATGTCCGTACTGTACGCCATCAAGCGTGCGTTTATGGGCTTTGACGAAGAAACTTTCTCTAAGACATTCGGAACATTCGTCCGGCCGCATTTAGAGTACGGCATACAAGCTTAGAGGCCGTGGGCTGTTGAGGATCAAAACTGCCTCGAAAGAGTCCAGAGGAGAGCCACGAAGATGGTTAGGGGTCAAAGCTCCTTTCCTTATGCAACCAGCCTAGTAAATCTGAACCTCTTTCCTTTGAGTTACAGGCAACTTCGCGGAGATCTCTTGCAAGCCTTCCGCATTGTAAAGGGGTTGGATTGCAGTCTGGCCTTCGAGGACTTTTTTGAATTTGCTACCACGACCAACCTCCGAGGTCACCCGTTAAAACTGCGCACTCAGCAGGCACGTCTGGATGTGCGGAAGTTCTCCTTCTCGGTTAGAGTGGTCAAACCATGGAATGAGCTTCCCGCAGATGTTGTGATGTCATCATCTATACAAAGTTTTAAGAAGAATCTGGACATATTTATGTTCCGAAATGACCAAGAGCGATGAGAAGTCGAGCTCATCCCTGTAACTCCTTCTCATTTTGTCCCACCATTATAGGCGTGTTCGAACTATTTCAGCCCAGAACATCTATCTGTACACCACACATTTTTTACGTTGCAAATAGGGTACTCAAAGGCTTACGTCTATTTCTCTCAATAAACTGAACTGAACTGAACCGCCTACACAAAGCCTACGTAGATTACCCCACTGATGCCACCAGAGCTTCCTTCTACCGCAGTCGCCGCCAACTTCAGCAACGATTGCGCGAGATGCAGGACGCCTGGACTGCTCGCAAAGCTGAGGAGATCCAAGGGTACGCGGACCGAAATGAATGGACGAACTTCTTCTCTGCGATCAAAGCTGTCTACGGTCCGCCGACGAAGGGCACTGCTCCTCTCCTCAGCGCCGACGGCAACACTCTCCTGACTGAGAAGACGCAAATCCTACAGCGATGGGCCGAGCATTTCCGAGGCGTCCTCAACCGCCCCTCCGTCATCTCCGACGCCGCCATAGAGCGTTTGCCGCAAGTGGAGACCAGCGTGGACCTCGACCTCCCGCCATCTCTCCAGGAGACCATCAGGGCCGTGCAGCAGCTCTCCAGCGGGAAAGCACCAGGATCGGACGCAATCCCTGCTGAGGTCTACAAGCACGGAGGTCCCCAACTGATCGATCGCCTGACTGCGCTCTTTCAAGAGACGTGGCGTCAAGGTGAAGTCCCACAAGATTTCAAAGACGCAACCATCGTGCATCTCTACAAGCGCAAAGGGAATCGCCAAGTCTGCGACAATCACCGCGGCATCTCCCTGCTGAACATCGCCGGGAAGATCTTCGCCCGCATCCTTCTCAACCCCCTCAATAACCATCTGGAACAGGGCCTTCTACCGGAAAGCCAATGCGGCTTCCGTCATCATCGTGGGATCACGGATATGATCTTCGCCGCCCGTTAACTTCAGGAGAAGTGTCAGGAGATGCGGACCCACCTGTACTCTACCTTCGTGGACCTGATGAAAGCCTTCGACACGGTGAATCGTGAAGGACTGTGGAAGATCATGCAGAAATTCGGCTGTCCGGAGCGATTCACCCAGATGGTGCGTCAGCTGCACGACGGTATGATGGCGCGAGTCACGGACAACGGAGCTGTCTCAGAGGCGTTCGCAGTGACCAATGGAGTGAAGCAGGGCTGCGTACTGGCGCCTACCCTCTTCAGTCTTATGTTCTCTGCCATGCTAATGGACGCCTACCGCGACGAACGTCCCGGGATCCGCATTGCCTACAGGACGGACGATCACCTCCTGAATCAACGGCGGATGCACTTCCAATCGCGCGTATCCACAACCACCGTTCACGAACTCCTCTTCGCCGACGACTGCGCCCTGAACACCACCTCGGAAGAGGAGATGCAACGGAGCATGGACCTGTTCTCCGCCGCCTGCGAGAACTTCGGTCTGGTCATTAACACGCAGAAGACGGTGGTGATGCACCAACCGCCACGCCACTCAGTCACAGCCCCCAACGCGCCGCTGCAAATCAACGTGAACGGAACCCAACTGCAAGTGGTGGAGAACTTCCCGTACCTGGGCAGTACTCTCTCCCGCAACACCAAGATCGACGACGAAGTCGCCAACAGGATCTCGAAAGCCAGTCAAGCCTTCGGTCGCCTCCAAAGCACAGTTTGGAATCGCCACGGTCTTCAGCTGAGCACGAAGCTGAAGGTGTACAAGGCCGTCATCCTGCCGACGCTACTGTTTGGAGCGGAGCCTTGGACGGTGTACGCAAAGCAGGCACGCCGTCTGAACCACTTCCACCTCAGTTGTCTTCGTCGCATCCTGAGGCTGAAGTGGCAGGATCGAATCCCCGACACTGATGTGCTGGAACGGACGGGAATCCTCAGCATCTACGCCATACTGAGGCAAATTCAGCTGCGCTGGAGCGGCCACCTGGTGCGCATGGACGACGAGCAACTACCCAAACGACTCTTCTACGGAGACGTCGCGACGGGTTTTCGCCGTCAAGGAGGCCAGATACGCCGTTACAAGGATATCCTGAAGTCCTCCCTGAAGCGCCTGAAAATCAATCCGACCAACTGGGAGGAGCTCGCACTCGATCGATCGACCTGGAGGAGGACAGTGAAGACAGGCGCTGCGATCTACGAAGCCAACCGCATCGCTGCCGCCAAAGCGAAGCGCTGCCTCTAGAACTGCACCAACCATCGTTCCCCCGCCGGCCTCTACCTCCTCCTCTCCGCCGCCAACTAACTCTGACGATTCTTCTGAACCACCACTTCCGTCCTCCTCCTCCTCCTCCTCCTCCTCCTCCTCCTCCTCCTCGTCCACTGCTCCAAGGATGGCCGCTCAGGCGACTGCCCCGCGCGCAACAAACGACACTACCACCACCTCCCCCGACACCAGCGATGAGGATCAGGACTACACCTGCCCTCACAACGACCGCACCTTCACCTCACACATCGGCCTGGTCGGTCACTTGCGAATCCATCGCAGAGAGACTGGCGAACCAGTGCCTGGAGCACCCACCTATACAAACCAAACTCATCTCTACTGCCCACACTGCCCTCGCACTTTCAGGCATCGCATGGGCCTATTCGGCCACATGCGCATCCACGACGACCTGCGGTAGACAACCGCCAGTCACACCACACATTCACTCACTCCCTACCACCACCACCACC